TAGTGCAAAAAGAAGCCCATAGACTGAAAGTGAAAAGATAGAAAACAATTCTCCATGTGACAGGAGTCCAGAAAGAAACAGGGGTAGCAATCTTATTTGAAGACAAAGTAAATTTCAAACCAAAATTGATTCTAGTATTATTGATGTAGGACGGTACTGTATCATACCTCTACGAATGTAAAATATCTATGAAGACAAAGTAAATTTCAAACCAAAATTGATTCTAGTATTATTGATGTAGGACGGTACTGTATCACACCTATATGAATGTAAAATATCTTGTACCTGCTTTATGATACATAGTAGGAACTATGCTTTATCAGAGCTACATTTAATGATATTATTCTAGAATGTTCTCTTTCCAGGTGATGATTAAGATGCTAATAAAAAAAAAAATGGTCCCAGGTACCACAACAGCAACAGAACTGTGCTGTTTTCTGGATATTATTCTTTTCTTTGTTTTTCTGTTTTGTTTTGTTTTTAATGGAATGTGCTGAATGTCTATAATTTTGTTCAGATGACTGCAGAACCTGGAAAAGCTGTTGCTGCTATCGATGTATAACATACTATTATTAGTCTTTTTATATAAATATAAATATATATATATATACATATATATAAAAATTGAATTTTGGGAAACTAACGGTGCTGCCATCTTTGGAAAAAGTCATCCTAATTTACTGTGTTGAGTTGGCATTGTACCGAAATGGACAGCCATATTGGTCTAGAAATATTCATTTATTTTTATTTTTTTTCCATGTGTACAGGGGTAACACATCGTACTAAATATGTAAGGTCATATCTACGTGGGTTTGATTACAGAAACTAATAAAGTATTTCTAAATAACGAAAAAAAGAATAAGAAAAGACTATAAGAGCAAGAAGAAATTTAAATATGTTCAGGGACCATTTTCATCTCCAGAATTAAGGATTATTTTAATGTTACATCATTGCCTTTTCTCTTTTACCTTCCATTTTAGTTCTATTTTAGGATTCCCTATTTTCAATGTTCATATAGAGATTTCTTTAACTGAAATACTGAATAGTTTCGTTGGTGCAAAAAACTATAATAGTACACAGGATCCTAATGAGATAATTAATAATGTGAAATAGGAAGTAAAGAGCTAAAGGTGTAGGGAAAGTGGGAAGGGTGGGGGAAAGGTAATAAGGGAGAGGAAAAAAATATGAGAAACTGAAAAAATGGAAATATAAAGTGTTTTTTAAATGGGGAGGTGAAGTGAGGGTGAAGGGAGGGCAGGGACAAGGGGAAAAAATGAGAATCAAGACCTATTATGTAAAGGTACAGAATCCCAATGATGAATGTAACTATATTGTATACCTAGATTGTACCAATAAACTCAATTAAAAAAAAAAAAGAAAGAAAAGCCATTATCCCATAAACCTGAAGAAAAACATCCACAAACAGAAGGTTGAATATTACATGCAAGTTCTTATTACTATAAAGCTGAACAGTCTTTAATGGGGCACCAGCAAAGAACAAAATATGATCAGGCTCATATTCAATACAGAAATGAAACTTCTATTATTCTTTCTTTATTTCTAGGTATGTGCACAGCTTTTATGACATGTAATATTGTCCCTTATGCAACTTATCAATAATGCTACTTTTATAAGAACTTGATAATAAAACTACTTTTTAAGCACCATCCTTATCAAACAATAGGTGAGAAAAAGAATAAGTAAATCCTTGTTTTGGTGCCACTTACCCATTTGGCCACTGGGTGCCAGAGTAGACCTTCCTAAAGTCCTAAATTCTTGCAGACAGGCTGTGACTAATTCATGTCCTGCTGCACGTTACAGCATGAATGTTAACAGCCTCAATAACGCAGTCACCACTCTCAAACTTTCCCAAAAACTCTGGCTGTACTGACTTCATTGATTTCACAATTTTTTTAAAAAAGATTCCTTTAATATGCAAGCCCCAGATTATTTGTACTAGGTTAGAAAAAGTACAGAGAATGAGACTTGCTATAAAATTTCCTGAAATGATTTCTTATCTTTATTACATCCTTGGCCTTTGCCTGCCTCCTTCTTTCTTTCCTCTCCCTTTTAGTTCCATCTTCCCAACTTCCTCCCTCCCTCTCCTTTGTGAGCAAGCATACAGAAAAAGATATGTGAGCACACAGTGAAAGGGTAGCTGTCTATGAGCCAGGAAGAGAGTTCTCACCATATCACCTTTACGGGATCTCAGTCTGGGTCTTCAGCTTCCAAAGTTACAAGAAAATAGATTTTGCTTATGTAAGCTTCACAGTCTGTGCTATTTGTTAAGGCAGAACACAGTGACTGGTAGAATTAGTAAGTATGGACAGGGTGCTCTGGGCAGGCTTCGACCCTTCTGTCCTTCTTTTCTCTTGGATCTAGGTGCCCAAAGAACTTGATGTTCTGCAGATTTTGTTAATATATTTGCTCTTACAGGATAATGCTCCATTTCTACTACCTGAAAGCTTGGTATTCATAAGCTATAAGTGATTGATATTTCCAAATGCTAGGCTTTGAAAGAAGATGGCTTAGATTGAGCAGACTTTCTCCTCCTATAGTATATACTATATACTACCTAGTAATATGTAGTAAACTTACACTTCTTTTCTGGTTCTTTATAGGATGAACTCATATCTAACACAACTAAATTCTCAATTTGCACATAGAGTACCTGATGCAAAGATAAATATTAAAGCATATCTCAAATTTTATTACAATTTATAAAAAATGCTTTACCTTCATCAACTGAATCTGAAGTGCTACTTTTGTCCAGAGAAAGATAATCATTTTTATTCAAGTCCAGCGATCTCGATGGCTTTCTACACAGCCTCTTTTCTGAAGTTAATAAAGGACTCTTTCTGATCTTTTTCTCACTTTGGGCCTCCTCCTTACCTAATCCCTAAAAGGCAAATAATACAACTTAAAATTTTTAAAAATAACAGCATACATTATTACAAGAAATTCTATATTAAACATACTTTGAAATCCTGCTCTTTAAAAAATATTTACAGCATTTTGTTTGTTAGGGTTAAATCACATTTCCAATGTCACTAATTGTGGGCCTATGATGTATTAGTAAATAATAGACTATATATCATCCTAAAGTATCATAGTGAAGAATAATGAACAAAACATTTAAGAATTCACAAAAAGAACTCACAGAAAGTTACAATTTATCTAAATCACTTAAGCAGAAGGGAAAGGGTACAAAGGACAAAATAATGGCGCAGTCAGTTCTTTGGGATGGGCAAGGAAGATGAACGGGATCTAGTTAGTTCCCCCAGCCAATGCCTGCCCAATCATTTCAAAGAAGAGAACTCACCCAGCTCTCAAAACCAGAAACTAAAGCAGAAAGGGAAAGGCAATAGAGAGATTTAAAAGTCACAGAAGTGTACAGTGGTGGAGAGAAGATTAAAAGGGAAATTAATTTCATAGCAAACTTATAGGAGCACAAATGGCTGTGCTTTTAGAGACTAAGAGATTAGGCATTAAAATGAATTCAATATATGATGCTACCTATACTTTCTGGATGGTTTAATAAAGACATGTCAATCCTATAATAGTTAAATGCTAAGTATTAAAGCATGAGTGATATCGCCATGGTAGTATTCAAGGACAATAGTATTATAATCAGACTTAGTAGATAATGTAAAAAATCTGTATAAACTACAGGCAAAGTACTTTCTCATACTTTGTGTGTGTGCACAGATGTTTCATCTGTGAAACAGATGCAAGAACATATATAAAATCCTAATACTTTCTTCCCCAGGAGATCCTTAAGCAGCAATGGACAGAGAAGTAGCTCCAGGAGGTCACAAGTTTCCACTGGCCACTCAGAAAGTAGAATAACAACTGGAATCCAGGGCACAGTTTATTTAGCTTACGCTCATCTGAAGACTTGATTCCTCAGGCAGAGATTACTGTTCACATCAAGAGTTGATAATTTGGAGCGTTCCACATTATAAAGATGTGCTTACTAGGGTCAGGGATTTAGCTCAGTGGCATGGCACCTGCCTCACAAATACAAGGTCCTGAGTTCAATCTCTGGTACCAAAAAAAAAAAAAGTGCTTACTTAGTAGACAACCCAGGGCTTCTTTAACAGAGCTAATTACAGTGCATTTCTCTGCAGCCCCAAAGAAGCTCCTCTTCTGGCTAATTAAATTATATTTCTTAGTATAAAGAATATAGATAGATGCCTATATGAAAAATAACAGTCATTATTGTAGTGATTGGTATTTGCACAATTTTTATTTCTCCCTATATTCTTCTGTATTTCACAAAATTTTATAAAAAGTATTAATTGTGTAAATTAAAAACTCACTTTTATCTTGAAAAAAGTCATTTCTGACTTTTTGTTATTTCCAACTTTGTTGGAAGTGAAAATTTAAACAAAGTAACATACAAATATATGCTAATATCTGAGACTATGACCATATTGTTCTTGAACACACAAAGAAAAAAAAGAACTTCTACATAACTTATATTCCATAATATGAAAACATATATACTAAACATCAATAAATATATGACTGATCTTAAAACACTGTTATTCTTCCATATTCCATTACTTTTCTGAGAGAAAATGTGATTTTTTTTTTCTTCCCCGTAGGGACAAAACTAGAGGCAAGATGGGCATGGTGGTGCATGCCTCTAATTCCAGCAATCAGGAGGCTGAAACAGGAAGATCACAAGTTTGAGGTCAGCCACGGGTACAGAGTTCAAAGCCAGCCTGAACTACATAGAGAAAGCCTGTCTCAACAAACAAACAAAAATTGAGAGGCAAAAACCAACAGGTTACTCCAAGAAGAGGTACAGAAGATATTGCCAGGCTATTGAAAGGACTCAAGAAGAGATTAGCAGTTCTGAGAACCCAGTTCTTTGTAAAAGGACAAGGAGCCTGCAAGACATCCTCTATCTTGTTACCTTCCCCAAGTGAAGTAGTTTTATCATTTCAGTGAGAACATACAAAAAGATTAACACACAGAATCTCTCATTTCTTACACTACTACTAAATTTCCAAGTGTCCCTAGTTGTCTAAGTTTTTTGAGAAAACAACAGCACAAAACCAGGCTGTGGTAGAGGCATGATGGATGATGGTGGCCTAGGACAAGTTTGTAATTTTCAGGTCTTTCACATAAATGTGTTCTCTTTCAGCATTTTCTCAACATTTACTCACCTCAGGAGATTTCTAGACCAGGTTAGAAAAGGACTACTGCTGGCCATATATAGGCTCACTTTCAATTCTAACAGCTTATGGTTTGGGGATCCTTAATATGTGCTAGTCACTATTCTACAAAATCATATGTATATTTTTTCATTTAATTCTTATTTTAAAATCCTTCAAGCAATTATCTTCACTTTATAGTTAAGAAGACGAAGACAAAGGTGAATTTAAGTAATTAAATTAGCTTACTAAAGATCATACAGTAAAAGTAACATGGTAGAATGTGAAGCCAAAGCCATGCTCCAAACCAATAAATTCAGCTTTGGCCCCAAACTTGCATCCCTTATCAGGAAAACAAACGCTGTACAACACAAGCCCCCGTAGTGTTCAGAATGTGGTCTTTCATATTATTCTTCACTAAGAAAATGACTCCTTAGAAAAATGACTGATGCTAAGTCTGGAGAAGTAAATACACAAAGTGTGTGGGATATAGTGCTGTTCCAAAAAAGAAGCAAGTCTTCAAATGTTTATTGGTCATTTCTAAAAGATACAGGAGGCTTCTTGAAAGAAGAGCTCTTGGCAGAGGGACCAGACTGAGTTTAACAATAATAATGATACAAACTGATTGAAAGCCATAGAAATTTTAAAACCGACACACTTACAATGATACTTGAGAAAAGGGAGAAACTGACCAATGAACTCTAAAGCCCAGCAGGCAAGTGAATCTGCCTTCTGAAGAAGGTAGCTTAAGTAGCAAGGGCTTAAGAAGCATATATGGTTACTCAGCCTGCTGCTCAGAGGCTCATCTCCTCACTCAAAAAAGGTTCTCCTACCACATGCACTACTCACCCTGAGGAGAACCCTACTAACTACACATTAAACAACGTTTTGTATTTTTAAATAATATTTATCCTCCTTATAGATGTTGCTCAGAGGACAGCCTGATAGCTCTGCACTTTATCCAGCTTTGTACAGAACCTTGTATTTTCCTATATAACCTCTGGTACTTAGAGATTTAAACCTTATCTTAAAGTACACTAGCAGCCTGGTATCCTAAATGTTTAAATATTTCATAGAGTTCATTTTATACAATGATTAGCACATGGCAATGTCAGATATATTTTTTAAAAGACAGTACATACTAACTTCTTTTGATGAATTTCCATCCAATGATTCTGTTTCTGAAACTTGACTAACTGATTCATGGGTAAAACTGATGGACTTGGATAATTTTTCATCTCTTTCTCCAGAGTCATCCACATTGCTTCTTCCTGGACTTCTGTAAGAAACACATTGTTTTAGAGATATAAGTTCCCCTATACAAGTAAGAGATTTGGTCCCTCACTGAGGTTCTTTTCTATTACAAATCATTTTGACAATAGTTTATTGTAATATAACAGATAAGCCTCTACTTATAACAAAGGTCTATTCTTAAATCACATGCGAATCAACTTCATTCCTGAAAATAAATCAGATACATTCATATGAGAGTCTATATTTCAGAAACCATTAGGAAATTAAGAAAGTAAAAGTGGCCACAACAGCAGCTAATCAAATGAATATTGCTTGTTTAAATTTTATCTGTGCAAAAATATACAGCCTTGAAAGGTTTGAGGAAACCAAGTTGGACACCAGTCAGGACCAGGAGGCAGGGTGTTTTTTTTTTTTTTTTTTTTTTTTTTTTTTTTTTTTTTTTTTTTTTTTTTTTTGCTTGTTTGTTTATTCATTTGTTTTTGCAGTGATGAGGATTAAATTCAGGGCCTCATAAAAGTAAGGCAAGGGTTCTACAACAGAGCCACAGCCTCAGCCCCAGAAGGCAGCTTTACATCTCCTTCCATCCAAGTCAAGGGCCAGCTGAGATAGTGAATCCCTCCTGAAGTAAAAAAGTCTGAGGAAAGAGCCCATCAATCAGTCAGGCCCCCCCATACATCCTTTCCAACCAAAGAAGGTATAAGCAACAGCTTCCAAATGGTGATAGGGCCAGGAGTATAATAAATGTCCTAAGATCTGCTTTTCTTTCTCAGGCAACAGAAAAGAAGACTTCTAAATATGAAAGGTGCATAACTGATCTAATTTCAGTACTCAACCTTACCAGGCAATTATTGTTTCCAAATAATCCTTGTTATATGTACTTGAAACTTTCTTCCCCCCCCCCCGTTGAGTTTATTGGTACATTTTAGGTATACAGTACAGTTACATTCATCATTGGGATCTTGTACCTTTACATGACAGGTCTTGGTTCTCATTTTTTCCTCTTGTCCCTGTCCTCCCTTCACCCCCTCCTCCCCTCCCCATTTACAAACATTTTATTTCCATTTTTTCATTTTCTCCTATTTTTTCTTTCCCTTATTACCTTTCCCCTATCCTTCCCACTTTCCCTACACCTTTAGCCCTTTTCTTCCTATTTCACATCTCTTAATATAAAGTAACAACCTAAAATCTTATGCAGTATTATCTAAGAAGGGAATAAAAAAGTCAAAGGGTATTTCAACCCTATTTTAGTCTGCCAAAATAATATAGGTCTGCAATCAAGTCATTCCTATTTAGGTAAAATGATGGGGCTGTGAGGAAGCCAACAATGAAAGAGAGAACTTCTGTAAATAGTCTGAAACCTACAAAATGTTTTTAAAAGTATGGACTAATTGCTGCCTTTTGCTTCTGTAATTTGCTTTGCTTTGCTTGTTTCACAAAACACTTAAGGTTGCACCATTGAAGCTTAAAAGCACATAGCCCCAGTTTAAAATTAACAGATGCCAGAGATGCTTAGCTGCATCCCAGGATGAGACCAAATGTTCAAGCTAAGATAACAGTCCCTGAGCCATAAAACTTTCTGTTAAAACCATATGACTATAAAGGTGTTAAGATGAAAGGATGTCACCAGTCCTGCTTTACTAACCCTGACCCCCACTCTTGTGGTATGGAATAGCTAAAGATAATCATCCTAAAAGAAACTGCCACATTTGGGTTAACTTTGAAACTGTCTTGTGACCATGTTTTGTAATGGAAACTGTGGGAAATAGAATGTCTTCTCATCTAAAATGAGGTCATAATTGTAAAACTCCTATAAAAGGCAGATTGTAACCCAGCCCAGGGCCAGTCATTTGGCGTAGCCTTTGGTGCAGGCTGACCCTTTGGTAGCAAAGAAAATGCTTTTTCTGTTTTACCCACTTTTGCATCTCTGTGTATCACTTACCAGCTCCTTCTGCAACAAGACAGAAGCATCCTTGAGAATAGTATGCCAGCCAAGTATCTGTACTTTAGGATTTTAAAGGATGGAAGTGAAGTATGAAAAAATAAAGTAACAGTAAGATAGGCAGGAGGGGGAAGGAAAGACTGGAAGTGAAGGAGGACATATAAAACAGCTGATGAAATAAAGGTTTGAAACAGATATATTTTTTTCAGAGACTGAAAGAATGGTAAAAGTAGTAGAACAGGAAATGAAGATCCTGCTACATATTTTCTTAGAAAGCACTCAGTCACCAAAAGAAGAAAATAAAGCCTGGCTAGTACCTTCAGAAAGTTGATCCTAAGACCTTACAAATGAAATAAAGCACCTGGTTGAAAATACTTATGTTTACCTTCTTTTTTGTGGGGGGTACTGGGGATTGAATTTGGGTCTTTGTTATGTTTACTTTCTCTAAAGACTAGAAACTTTTCAATTCAGCAAGAACTTTGAAAGTTAGCTGGTTCAACTGCCTCATCTCATGATGAATAAACTGAGGATCACAAAGGTTAAAAGATTTTTTTGAGGTTGTTCAGCTACTTGATGGGCCAGACTAGAATACAGATCTTATTTACCACAATTTAATGTAAAGGTTCTTTACATTAGAACAATTTCCTTCCTACCCAGCTCCTGTACCTGGGAGAGACCAATAATTTCACAATGGAAATTTTTAACTTTGCAGAAAACTTATAAAATATGCATGTGTAACCATGTTAAGAGACTATAAAATATTAATGCTAAGCTGAAGCAATATAAATGGGATTGTTATAACTAGGAAACTAAATGAGTAAAATTTTTGTACATATCTTGAGACTTTCAAAATACTTCCTCTGTAAGGTTTATTTGCTATAGATCTTTAAGTAACAAGCTTATTAAGATATGATTCACATCTTATGAAATTAACTCAAAGTTACTATTCAGTTGTTTACACAGTTGTACAGTCGTCACTATACCTAGTTTTAGAACATTTTCATCACTCCAAAAAGAAAGCCAGACCTATTAACAGCCATTCCCATTCTCTGGCACTCCCTGTCAGCTCCTGGAAAATATAACTCACTTTCTCTGTGGATTTTGGACTTAATTTCATAGTTGAGGAATAATACAACACTGCATATAGTTTTGTTTTTGTTTTTGGATTGTTTTGTTTTGTTTTGTTTTGTTTTTTGCAGTACCAGGGATCAAACTCAGGACCCTGTGCTTGCAAGGCAGGCAGCAGAACCACTGAGCTAAATTCCTGGCCCTGCTACAGAATTTTAATGTATTATGCGCTACTTGATTTTATTGCTATGCTTTCAATTTCCATTGCAAAAAATATATATTTACTTGTACTGGTTAATAAAAATGTCCACTCTTCTAAATAAACCTGTCAAAAATACTTTTTCTCAAGGAGAACTACACCTGCTCCCGACCCAGCAGTCATCGCTCAAGCGTGAGGAGGAAGCCTGGGCCCCAACCCACTGCTGGAAGGAGAACCACGTCTGCTCCCGACCCAGCAGCCATCGCTCAAGCGCTGGGAAGGTAGCAGTACGGGTGCCCCTGAACCCCCATAAGCCCCGCCCATCACTCTCAGACCTCCTGACTGTGCAAGTCTTTGGACCCACTCTGCAAAGACAGAGGTGGTGATCAAGGGTATTTTTCTGAGTTTCCAACTTTGAACATCTTTAAAGAAACGGCAGGGAAACCTGTAATAGAACGTTGCAGAGTTCAACCATTCAGAAGGATGGGGAACTCAATTGGGGCCTTGCAGCCCGAGGTCAGTCAGCGTCATGGGGTTCAGCAATCAGCTAACTGAGATCAGGGGTCTTGCATCCTCACGCTGTCTCAGCCATTTAATGGTAATATACTATATTGAAAAGTTTGTTCACTGCAGACATGTTCTGGACTGCTTCTTGATTTCAATTTAATTCAAATGATTTAAGGGTGATAGACTAGTGACTACTACAGGTGGTCAGTGTCCAAGTTGTGCTTGATCTTAATGTGTTGCTGATTGTATCAGTTGGGGTAAAGCGTTGCCGTTGATTTGATGAGCTGTTTTCTCTGATGTTATGAAGATGAGAATGTCCGTGGGTCATTAGAGACACAGAAGCTAGGGCCCAACTATATCAGGAAGATTTGGGTGATAATCCAGAAATTAAACCAAGGACAGTCCCACAACAAAAATTAAAATGAGGAAACACTTAAGCAAGACACAAGGACAGACTTACAGTTCACCAATGGCTAACAGTAGGGCAAATGAGGATGAAAAGGCCGATAGTGAACCACCAGGACACCCGGGACTCAAAGCACAGGAAGTAACAAAACAGATCAATCAGGCTCTAGAAAAATTCAAAACAGAAAATAGAAGCCATAGGCCCAGCATAAGAAAGAAATAGAAAAAATATACGACCAACATAGGAAAGAAAGGGAATCCATAAAACAGATTCAAACAGATATCCAGGAGATTAAACACTCTATTGAAAGTGTAGGCAACAGAATAAAAGAATGCGAAGATAGGCTCTCAGATATAGAAGATAAGATTGCAGACAGTGATCATGAAAAGAGAGGTCTCTTAAAAAGAGTAAGAGATCATGAGAAATCAATCCAACAACTCCTAGATGATGCAAAGAAGAATAACATAAGACTGATAGGAATACATGAAGTAGCAGAAGAAAATACAAATGACTTAAAAAAGCTGTTCACAGAATTAATGACAGAAAACTTCCCAAACAGAGGGGAAGAATTTGACATTCAGGTAACTGAGGCATATAGGACCCCAACTAGCAGTAGCAGAAGAATACAAATGACTTAAAAAAGCTGTTCACAGAATTAATGACAGAAAACTTCCCAAACAGAGGGGAAGAATTTGACATTCAGGTAACTGAGGCATATAGGACCCCAACTAGCTACAAACAAAAAAAATCTACACCTAGACATATAATAATCAAGATCCCAGAAACCCAACAGAAGAACAAAATACTACAAGCAGTAAGAGAAAAGAAACAAATCACATACAAAGGAAAGCCCATCAGAATCACAGCAGACTTTTCAACAC